CATATGATCCCATGGAAAGAACTAGTTTTAAACTGGTGTCAGTCTCCTTTAATGTAAGGGGCTTTGGGCAGGGCAAGGGATCTCTTAGTTTTTAGATACTGTTGTTTCTCCTGATTAAAAAAAAGTAATACTGACCTTGTGATGAATGTAAGATGAATGTATTGCCAGTTCGTAAGTTCCCAGTTTGAGTCTGATAGGGAGGCAGAATTCCAAAGGAAGGGATTTTCTCCCTTAAAGGGACAATTATTTCCCTGTAAGGGACACTCACCCATGCTTTCCCCTCTCAACATGATGATGTGTTAAGTCATGGGGCAATGCAGTCAAAAATCAGAAAAAGGGATTCCGCCTAAACTTCCTGATTGTAAAAGCTGCTCAACAGTGGAATATGCTGCCTCAGAGTGTGATAGATTTCCATTCTCTGGAAAGTTTCAAGCAGAGGCTGGAATGTCATCTGTTGGGAGTGTTTTGTATGTTCCTTCATGGCAATGGGTTGGACTGGATAGCCTTTGTGATCTCTTCCAACTCCATGATTCTAACCCTGGACTTTGTGTGGATATGCAGAATTGTGAATAATGCCAAACCTTGTTGAAGTGAAGGCTTTCTGCCCTAAACATACCATAGATGATGACCTAGAAAATGGCCAGGGAGTACATATTTTGTTGGATGTGAATAAATAAAACCATGGATACTAATATTGCGGAATCAGAGTAGGAGGGTTGTCATACTGTACTTTGAAGTTTCTTCAAAGAGGCAACTGGCACACCTCAATTGAGTGTGGCCTGGCATGGGTGGTGTTTCATATAAATCTGTCATATGAGGAATACTAATTTGGTAAGAACAATGGGGGAAGGACCAACCTAAAACATGGATGTTCTATCTGCCTTCAAAAATAGTGATATCTAAATTTGGGCAGAATTGGTTTCTTTATCATCAGAGATAGCTCATAGGGTCACACTGTATCTATTATGGACACACAGATGAGAATGCATGAAATAACAGTTTCTTTTTCTTAAAACAGTTTCTTTTTCCTAAAACTTCATGAGAATGCATGAAATAACAGTTTCTTTTTCTTAAAACTTCAAGAGGGTGTTTTTCACTGCAGCTCGGTCACCTCATACCAGGAGTGAGCAAACTAGTGCTCTTCAGATATTTTAGATTATAGTGCCCATAGCCTCTTTTGTAGTCTTAAATGGGTTTCAGTCCAAAATATATGGGGTGCATTGACATAATTGTCATACTAGATGGACTTTGCATCTGATAAACCCTTGGTTTTTCCTCTGGTGACCAACTGTCTGGACCACCTGCTCCACGGGGCATCAGCCACCACCTCTTTTTAGAAACCAAATGTAACACTGTTTCCAGATATGGTTAGTTTTCTGTTTCAACCACTTTCTGTGTCTCTGTCTCATCTTTTCTTCCTCCCATGGCTACTTTTGGAGCATCTTGAGTTTTGCAGTTGTTCCATGCAACTGAGGTAGGATTAAGTGAGCAATAACTCTAAAAGATAGGAAAAGTTCCCCAAAGGGAATGTAGTGTCATCTTACAGATTTCAGTGCAACAGCTGTAACATGAGAAAAAAGCTAACTTGGTGGATTCCTTTCTCAACATATGGGACATTTTTTTGAAAAGGGGAAATTAGATCCTGAGTTTTTATCCTTGGGAATAAAGGACACTGCTGCAAACATATGTAAATTACAATCTTTGTTTAACAGAGGTATTGGTTACATGAATATTTTAATTCTCCAGAGAGTGCCATATTTGCATTATTTTCCCTATAGTTAAAATAGGAGTTTGTGAAAGAATGGAAGAGATTGTGCTAGCTTTCTTAGAAATTGTGTACAAAATTTATTTATTTATGATTTATTTGAAACATTTATATATCACCCTTCACACCCTAAAGGGGGCTCAGGGCAGAGCACAACATATAAACGACAAACATTCAATGCCGGGACGTAAATAGACTATACACATACATAAACATTAAAATCATTAAAATCACCCTTTCTGTCAACATTAAAATCCAGGATTCTTCTACTAAGGCAGTGTTTCTCAACCAGGGGGCCAGGACCCTTCAGGGGACTCGCAAAGGGGATGTAAGAGGGGGTCATCAAAGACCATCAGAAAACACAGTATTTTCTGTTGGTCATGGGAGTTCCATGTGGGAAGTTTGGCTCAATTCTATCATTGGTGGGGTTCAGAATGCTCTTTGATTATAGGTGAATTATAAATCCCAGCAACTACAACTCCCAAATGTCAAGGTCTATTTTCCCCCAAATTCCACCAGTGTTCACATTTGGGCAGGTTGAGTATTTGTGCCAGGTTTGGTCTAGATTCATCATTGTTAGAGTCAACAGTGCTCTCTGGATGTAGGTGAACTACAACTCCTAAACTCAAGGTCAATGTCCCCGAAACCCTTTTAGTATTTTCAGTTGGTCGTGGGAGTTTTGTGTGCCAAGTTTGGTTCAATTTCATCATTGGTGGAGTTCAGAATGCTCTTTGATTGTAGGTAAACTATAAATCCCAGCAACTACAACTCCCAAATGACAAAATCAATCCCACCCAACCCCACCAGTATTAAAATTTGGGCATATTGGGTATTTGTGCCAAGTTTGGTCCAGTGAATGAAAATACATCCTGCATATCAGATATTTCCATTATGAATAATAACAGTAGCAACATTACAGTTATGAAGTGGCAATGAAAATACTTTTATGGTTGGGGGTCACCACAACATGAGGAACTGTATTAAGGAGTCGTGGCAGTAGGAAGGTTGAGAAACACTGCACTAAGATCTTGTCTCTCTGTGTGTGCATAGAGAGAGACGGTATGAAAATGAATGTCATGTATCATGTTCTGCAGTTGATGGTGGTTGGTGGTGGTAGGCCTAGCAGTTGGTGATGGAAGGGTTGATGTAAGTCTTAGTTCTAAAGAGTTGAATAATCTGTAAGTAAGAGTTCATGGGTGAAAGCAATTAAGGGTTGGGGGATGCAAGAGATGGGTTGCAGCTGGGTGTTTCTGGATATAATGAGCTAGCCTTGGGACTGATCTTTGGGAGAAAAGTATTTGTCTGATTTTTGGTTGTTGATGCTGCTGGTTTTATGGATTTTCAGTATCCTGACCTGTCTCCTGTACACTTAGAACCCTCGAACCTTGACTCTCTGGACTGACTTTTGACTATGGTATAGACACTTGATCCCTGGACTTTGCTCATTGAACTCTTGACATTTGACCACTGGACTGGATCTTTTGACTACGGTGTTATCTTGAACCTGCAACAGTGTTTGCTGTCAGTTTTCAGTTTTATATTCTGTGGGTGAGTGCTATCTGTATGTTTTGGGCTATTAAAACAGCCAGAAAGTTAGTGCTGTTTTAATTAAACTGTTTGATACAAACTGGGTGTTTGTATGATTCACCTATGCCTGAATAATGGCAGAGCCCTGGCGTCGTGACAATGAACAAGAAGATGTTTGCTTAAAAGTGCAATACCTTTTAGGACAATACATATAGGGACAAATGTTAAAATACACATTGGGTGTGAGGGATTTGTTTTACTTTTTTAATTGAAACTCCAGATTCACTAGCTTTGTGCAAAAAGCTTAAAGCTAACCCACGTTGCACCCAGATGTTTCATTTTAAGAGCCAAATTGATTGGATTTCCCTGTCCGCAAAAACCTAACACTAATTATGCCAAGCTTTCTTTATTTCAGCAGCGTAACTTGGTAGGGGGTCATTTTGTTATTGCTGACTAAGTAACTGGAAGTCAAGAATGCTTGCAGATCTACTGGAAAGCACACAAAGATCTACCAGTAAAGGGAGATCTACATTCTGCTCACCTTTGCTATACACTGACTAGTGAGTACAGCACTATCGATTTCTGCAGAAATGATCTGTGAGATGCTTGTTAAACCAAGCCCTACATTTCTGTATAGTGGAATAGAAATAGATCAAAAGCCAACTGCACTTGGATGAAGCTTACTTTACTGCTGCAGTCTTGTATCATGTGTATTCTCAGACCATGCCGATCTTTCTCCAGAACCAAAACTCCACAAGCTTGTTTGCATACGCACACACATACTCCAAAGCACATTTCATTCTTGAACTCTATTTGGTCAAGAAATGCAATGTGTCTGAAAATTATCTTTGTGATTTTAATTTTATATATCACTGAAATTATAAAGACAATTTTCATGCACTGTATTCTTACTATGCCAGAAACTACATCTTACAAATATCATTAAGAAATACTCTCATTGTAGCATCTAGAAATATCCTAGATTTTTTTTTATCTAGGTCACTTGCCTTCTGCAATCAGGCTGAAATTCCATGAACATCCATACCTGTATCTTTAACTCTTCTGATAAATATCACTTTGCTAGATGGTTGAAACCATGAGAATGTTGTATAGGAAAGATTTTTAAAAACTCTCCTCAGCTCCATGGTCAACCTTTTGAATATTTTTCAAACACTAATTCATGTCTGGCTAGTGGCTGCATTGATCAAGGTGGGATTTTTTTTAAAAAAAAATGCTCTCTGTGCTATTGTTTTGACATGAAAGGAGTTGTTTTTATGAGGAGAGAAGTACGCAGGTGTAGATCTCTTAATTAGAGTATGCCAGATGGAAAAGAAAACAAGGCTGAATAGAAGGAAGCATTTTCTGCATGTGCAGCTTTTCTTAACTCTTCAATATTCCATAAGCCACACTCCTGGCCAGAATCCCCTCTTCTGTGCCACCACACAAGGACCCTTGCTCAAAATCTCATTTTAATTCCCGATTATACAATTTTAGCCATTTATTTTGCAAGAGCAGAATAATGCTTTCCGTTTGGGGGTGGGTGGGATCCCCTAGCAGAAATAATTCTGTATGACAGCATGCTCCTTCTTCCCTAATTAATGAAAACTAGTAAGCGGCTCATATGAGTTTTGACTATTTAGTTTAAAATATATAACTATCAGTGTCCCAGATGTACAAACACAGATCTAAAATACCCAACTTTCCTTACCTTCTGCCTCTTCTGCAATGCACCGCTTGATTTTTCTAGCCATGTTGCATGAAAGCTTCAGTGAGATGCTTCAGATCTTTCTCTTGAGAAAACGATGCCAGTCTCTTGTGTTCATTTGTGGATGCTCCCTTTGCCATCCAAGGGACCAATTTGATCAGTGACAGTCTCCATAAGCTCACTGGATTGGGAGGGCTCAATCGCATATGTAAAGGAAAATCTCTCTTGGAAATCTCTTTCTTTTCCTCTCCCCCCGTAGCAGACAGTACCACTGCAGTGTGATCGGCAGCAATAGGGAAGTTAGGAACTGTCTACAAATATTCTCACTTTTTATTCCAGGAAAAAAAAAACTCCACATACCTTGTTGCTAGAGAACGTAGACCTTTTATCTGAAAGAATGGAAAAGCCGTTCTGCATCATAATCCTTTTCTAAGAGGAAAAGTACTGACAATTTCTAGAAAACAGATTTGGTACCAAAACATTGCAGAACTTGAATAGTTCATCTGTTTAAAATATTCTCATGTACCTGCCAGCAATTTCACTGAAGAAATGCACCGTAGACATGAACAAGATTGCACTACAAAGCACATTTTTGTGTTTCCACCCCTTTCCAGTAATCAGAACATAACACATATACAGGCAGTCCCAGCTGCCTGAACAAGACTGGTTCTATAGGTTAGTTCCTAAGTTGAATTTGTATGTAAGTTGAAACAATACATTTTAAGTGTAACTTCAGCCACACACACACAAGCTTTAGATAGTGTAGGGAAGCGTTAACACCCCTGTGGCATTTGTTTTGCTGTCTGTGCCCCTGTTCAGAAAATTTCACCTCACTTTCTGTTCCTGTCATCATTGGATTTTGAAAAAAAATGGCTTTTTGTGGAAACAAGGACTGGTGAGAAAGCTTCACCGGAGACAACTTTTCTCCATGATACCTCTTTCAGGAGTGAATTTCCCTTCTGAGGAGTAGATTTATCTCACTTCCTGTTGTCTCACCCTTGTTTATAATTATGTGTACTTCGGGTGTTTATAACTCAGGAACTGCCAATACCTGGCAGGAATTGACAAAGTACATCTGACAGATGATCATCCAGCCTCTGTTAAAAACCTTCCAAAGAAGGAGCTTCCACCACACTTCGAGGCAGTTTTTTTTTTTGTCATGTCAGGAGCAACTTGAGAAACTGCAAGTTGCTTCTGGTGTGAGAGAATTGGCCGTCTGCAAGGACGTTGCCCAGGGGCGCCCAGATGATTTTGATGTTTTTATCATCCTTATGGGAAGCTTCTCTCATGTCCCCGCATGGAGAGCTGGAGCTGATAGAGGGAGCTCATCCACCTCTCCCTGGATTCGAACCTGTGACCTGTCGGTCTTCAGTCCTGCCGGCACAGGGATTTTACCCACTGCGCCACCGGGGGCTCCAAGGCAGTGAACAGCTCTTATGGTCAAGAAGGTCTTCCTAATGTTTGGGTGGTATCTCCTTTCCTGTTATTTGAACCCATAGCTCTGAAGCCCTAGTGTCCAACGCAGCAGAAAACAAGTCTTTGCCCTGGAGATGAATTCAAAGATGACAGAAACAGAGGCAGTAACAACAAACAAATACTGTTGGTGCAGGGCAGAAAGCACAAGGGATCTATTTTATGTGCTTTTCTTGCATGGCATGGGGTTGGACTGGATGGCGCATAGGGTCTCTTCCAACTCTATTATTCTATGATCTAAACTAGAGGTTCTCAACTTTATGTTGCCTACCACACCTTTTTCAGAAAAAATACCCCTGTAAAATGACATTATTTAAAATAACAAACAAAGATGCAGTGACAAGTTTTATTCTTTTATGTGTATCTCTGTGTATATAAAAATGTGTGTGTGTGTGTGTATTCCTATCTATATCCTTTATGTGACAATTTATAAATTTCAGCTCTACTTTTTTCAGCAAAATAAATCAACCACTTGTCATATAGGTCAGAAGCAATCTACACTAGATTTCATACATGTCACCTTTATATTGGATTGTAAATAAGTTATTACACTCACATAATCTTGCCAATGCATTCCAACAATGTACAACATGTTCAAATGCAAACACTTGCTTGTTAATACCTGTCAGCAGACTGGTTATAACTTGCATTTTCAAATTAAAGAAATCACAATGACTTTAAGTCTATGTTACACAACAGATGAAAAATGTCTGAATGGTTTTTCCAAAATTGCCTTTTTCTTTATGCTTCTATTGCTTACTTATTTTTATTTAGTGCCTCCCAATTTCAACCTAGGCTATTACAGCTGCTACCACTCTCCCCAGATTGTTCCAGTGGCCCTCAGGAAGCACTGTTGCCCACTTTGGAAAGCACTAAACTGTACGTACAAAAGTATCTATAAACATGTTCTCAAAAAAGTCAGAGTTAGTTATTTGTCATCAAGTCAGTTTCAATTTATGGCAGTCCTATGAACGAGACCTTTATGTACCCAGGTTATCAAGAGATCTTTGTTGATGCACAGATCTTTTGAACCTAGGGCTGTGGTTGGTTTGACTGAGTCTATCTATCTAAAATGTGATCTTCCTCTTTTCCGACTGTCTCCCACATTTCTAAGTATTGTTGTCTTTTCCAATGAGTCAGTATACCCAATCATCTCTTGCAATGACAAAGCCACAAATACCGAGATCTCAAGAAGAGGCACTTGTGTAACAAAACTAATAAAAATATTTTTTTTAAAAGAAGAGGCATGTCAAAGATATGGTAGCTGGTACATGCTTAGACAATGTGAGAAAGACACTGCACTGCTATAGTGTAAAGAAAACATTTATTTTAAAGATTACAAGTATTGACATAACAGAAAGACCTGGCCAATGTACTGCCATTAGAACTGGACTGGTGTGATATTGTGCAATAATTTTGCATAGCAGTGACAGAAAAAGAAGACAAAAGTGGAGTGTTATAGTTTTCAATGCAGAGAGCAGAGAATGTAGAGAATTGTGGGAAGAATTTTGCACTCCAAGGTGCATACATGCAATTTTAGTGGTGAAGAGTTGACTGCATCAGGGCAAAATGATCAGATTTAGAGCAGAATGTAAGCTAGTTGATTTATTTCTCTTAAATGAGAGAAAAGTAAAAAATCTTTGCTTTTCAATCAGTCACAAATACTTGGACATTTATGCTATTCAATGGCTGTTCCAGCTTCTATAGGTTTCTGCCCACAAATCCTCAGTAGGTAGCAAACCTTGGTGAAATGCAGCAGATGATATCCTTGTTTCATATCTATCTATAGGGGCATAGACATTTCTGCAAATTGATTATTTTCCTTTTTGAATCTAGTCAGATTCATTTTCCTATAAGAAAACATTTTTCCCTGTCCAAAGCACTATTCTCCTGTAACATTGTGCTAACCTTCTGTTCAATGCTTTTTGAGTGCACACTCTTTCTTTGGGTCAGGATTGCACATTTAGTGAAATCTCACTTTCTCTCTTTTATAAAAAAGTGGATCAGGAGCCAAGCCTTCTTTTACAGCCGTTTTGAACTTTACATCTTTTCTTGGCATCCTTTCCAAGGCCATGCCACTGGCAGGATTCAAGGATTTGTGGCACAGAAAAATTAACTTTTTGTAGTTCTGCTTATGGTTACTTTTAGCACTGGAAATAAGGGCAAATCATTGAAATGCCTGTATTGATTCATCTTGAAGCAGTGTGCTTTGCATTCCTTTGCCCTTTGTGTGTTTGCTTTCTACCTAATGAATAGAGGAAGAAGAATGATGGCTTGGAACAAACCTTTCAAGGAAAGGACTGGCTTAACCATTGTTCAGAAAAGCTTTTATATAATAGTAATGCATGGAAAAAGACGAAGAATTCCATCATGTTTCTAACTTGGTTTTTTCCTGTGCCAATCAGATCTGAGTGGGGAAAACTTAGCAGTGAAATGAGAATCTGGAGATGTATTTTCCTTTTATCCCATCCATTACATTCAAATGGAAGAAAGAGATGGCTGAATGGTGTTGCTGTTTGTTGTTGTTCTTTAAAATAATATTGCACACTCATTTGAAGCAAATTAATCCTCATCCCCTTCCTGTGTTGTAGACTTTGATGCCAACAGAACAAAAACAATAGCTTTCACATAAATATCTTCTCTAGGGGGTCATGTTTAGAAGTAGCCATATTGGCATTAAGATAAAGGTTTCCCCTGACATTAAGTCTACTCGTGTCTGACTCTGAGGAGTGGTGCTTATTTCCATTTCTAAGCTGAAGAGCCAGCATTATTCATAGACACTTCCAAGGTCATGTGGCCAGCATGACAGCATGGAGCACCGTTATCTTTCTGCCAAGGCAATACCTATTGATCTATTCACATTTGCATATTTTCGAACTGCTAGATTGGCAGAAGCTGAGCCTAACACCCCACTCTCTGTATTGGAACCGCCAACTTTTCGATCAGGGGGCCTCCTTGGCATATTGCAGCAAAATGCAACAAAATCCAAATTGCAAAGAAAGGAATATCTTCATTGGAGCAACTCTAAAGCATAAAATGCAGTATGTAAGCTTTCAAAGCCTGCATCATTCTAAAGTGTTAGAATCATTCAAGAGAAAAATGGATGATGGTGTTAGATTTACAAGCCTACATTCTGTCTGATATGTTACTCTGTTGTCAGCTAAGATAGTATTGACGGATTTCAATATATACAGAGGACACTTCCTCTTTTTGATTATATGAAACTGGGAATAAAGGCCAGTACAAGGATTTGTTTTTTTGTTGCTCGTGGACTTGCAAATTCACATAGCCAAGAATGATTAAATGGACTATGTATTGTCGAAGGCTTTCATGGCCGGAATCACTGGGTTGTTGTAGGTTTTTTCGGGCTATATGGCCATGTTCTAGAGGCATTTTCTCCTGACGTTTCACCTGTATCTATGGCAAGCATCCTCAGAGGTAATGAGGTCTCACTATGGACTGTCTGCATTGAAATCTCTCAATACCTTCTTAACTGAAAACAGTAATATCTGTGACAGAAAGATCTTAAAAATCACACAGGAGGAGAAAAGTGTTGTGTTAGAATCACAGTCCTACCTTTTGTCTCATATTTTCCTTCTGTTGTCAGTTAAGATGGTCTTGAGGGATTTCAATGCAGACCTGGATTACTTCAGGTCTTGGCTAGATAAGACCAGGGACAAATGAGAGGCAGTAAAATTTCAAATCCATGAGGAACATAGATCCAGGCAATCTCTGAAATGCTAACTATTGTCAGTTAAGATGTTCTAGAGCATTGCTTCTTAAACTTTGGGCCCAGTGGCAAATTGGGTCCCCTTAGTTCAATGTTGGGGTCCTGAAAAATTTGGCAACAGTCTAAAAAATTCTGAATATCACCTAGCTTGTGCAGTGTTTACAGTAGACTTTGTAGAAGATGCTTCAACTGTACTCCATAAAAAGGAAAATCAGCTTGTTTAGCAAACTTGCAAATGCTGATTTTTTAAAGTAAATGTTTGGTTTTTATATCTATCTTATATATCTATATACTAGGGTCACATAAACATTTCTTTGACTGAAAAAGATGGAACAGTTTAAGAAGTCCTTGTGTATAGAATTATCAATACAAAGTATTTGAAGGCTTTCATTGCTAGAATCACTGGATCAGAGGTGGCCCTAGGTAATTTTCAATGGTAAGCAAACAGTATCCCCCCCCCCACCCCACAACCAATCACTGATATATATTTTCTGTTCGTCGTGGGAGTTCTGTGTGCCATATGTGGTTCAATTCCATCATTGGTGGAGTTCAGAATGCTCTTTGATTGTAGGTGAACTATACATCCCAGTAACTACAACT